ATGCTTCAACCCATAGTGAGCTCCACAATTAAACGTCCCGTACAATAGGAGAAAGAACAAAAAACATGTTTCTCATCCTCTAAACCAGAAGATCTGAATTGCAGGAAACAAAAAAACAGAAATATTCAGGGCACCGCGACACTCTGATGCCCCCCTGGAAGGATCATGCCGAGGCAGAGGAAAACTTTCTACCCTGCTTCTGTGCTTTGAGTGAACTCGTATTTGTGTTTCCAATCATGAGCCATTTTTACATTAACTGTCTGGAACAGCAGGGAATAGGAAAACTAACACAATCTTTACCTCGTACAAAGGATGATACTGGTGTCACGTGTTTGCTTCTTCAAAAAACGTTATTTATAAAAGGCAACGGGGAAAGCAGAGAAACTATTGACTCTTCCCCGTATCCCCACACGAGTAGCGTTAGAGCAACTTTTTGATCCCCTACGTTTTTTACATTTCCCCCCCCCCCCGCGCACAGGCCACCGCCTTTAATTAAGCTTTCAAAAGTCTTCTGACAATGCCAACAATTGCAAGACACTTCTAGAGCTCAATCATGCAATCATCGTGACACTTCTATTTACAATTTGTCTTAGAAAGAGTTTCTCTGACATTGTACTTTGACAAAACAGCCAAGCTGCCGGTTCACAACCTTTCTCTGTCTTACTTACAAATACAGCTTGTACGCAGGGCTCCGAATCTCAGGAGCGGGAGCCTTTGGGTAGCACCTTGACTATTTTTCCTGCCTGTGACTGTTTCACCCAGCCTGTGCTCTCTGTTTCTTTGTATGGGGAAAGTGGACAGAATTTGACTCCAAAATATTTCCATCTTCCTTTTTTTCCCCCCTTTTTTTTAAGCTTTCATCTTATTGTCCAGATGCAATGCTAACTATTCAATGCAGTCATCAGTAATTTTTTGTCTCTGGAACAAAACAAAATAAGAAGGAATCGCAATTTACAACCTACAGAATTACAATGGCAACTACCAATAACAGCCCAAGAAAATTTCTGTGGTGTAATGACTACTCAAAGACACCACCTCCTGAGAACTGTAATAATCAAATGTACTTGGTCCAGAATTTAGTACCGAATTATGTCCACCTTACCCCCGATTACTGCAGACAGAGGTTTTTCTTACATTGTTTTCCCATGTATTTTATTTGAATGCTACAAGCAGCTTGAGAATAAAGGATTCGAGCAGTAAAAATGACCTCCCCTCCTCCTCCCCTCTTTGTACAGTAAATACGGCATCCGCAGATATACACTCGGCATTATAAAGGGGAATATGCAGCAGCACTCCAAAGTGTTCCTTCAACTGAATCCAACTAACATTTAAGATCCTTCTCACCCAAAAAACCAACCGTTCATTAATTCCCTCGGATTTATACATTCAACAAACAAACCGCTAAAACCTGACACGGGCGGACGATAAATATTTCTTCGGCCTTTTCAATAAGTGAACAGCAATTTTACATTCACTGATCTCTAGATACTTCAGTTAATATTTCCCCCTATTGTAAAATATGAGAGCGGATAACTAAAGCCCTGCCATAGCACTCACTGCAAATCACGGACCGCCGGTATCTGGTGGTGAGGCTTTGACATACATATTGATGAAAGCTGCCTCATTGGACCCACACAACATACCCTATTAATTTTCAGTTAAATTTATGGCATTTCAGCTATAGCGCTGGATCAGCATCACTCAAAATTTTATAGCAAGTCAAAGCTACGCGCAGGCAGGCACCCACACGGAAGAGACAGGTACGCATGCCTGCACCTATATGGATCTCACAGCTACTGCACAGGTTGCACACATACATATAAGCTCTTGTAATCATCCCCGTCTCTGGAAAACAGTGAGGATAAAGAGCAGCCTATCGACGGTTAAAACAGAGATCAGACATCGTTTCTCCCTGCATTTGAATGACTCGCTGCCTCCTTCCTTGTCTTTAGATGAGCTGATTCTTAACCATTACTTATCTTAAGATGATCTTCTACTGTAACACACCAACACACTAACTACAAAACTGCAGACAGAGCACATACTGCATCCAACCTGTAACACCTTTCTCAGCCTCACGATTAATTAGGGACATTTTTACATTGCTACTAAAAACATATTTTCTGGTCTCTTACCAGGAAGAATCAGTTCACTCAACTCCCGTATATTTTTCTAAAGGCAACCTCTATCCTTTTTTTTCTTTCAATTCCACACTCACATCTTTTTGCATTTTGCATTCTTGCACAGCAATCAGATATAAAATACCGTAATTGGAAGAGCCTGAGGTTCACTGCAGGGGCCTTCCATAAACCTGAACTCCACAGCTCACTCCAAGACCCTCACCGGTAATTTTACTGCCTGACCCTGCAAACTCCCGGCTACAAGCAACGGGTCACTCCAGCTATTGCCACACTTCTTTGGGATACGAGGGAGTTAAACTCATCCAAGTGAAAGGGGAGATGAAGACACAAAGGGGAGGGACAGTGCAAGACCCCATAACTCCTGGTGCTCCTTCCCCCCTCCCGCAGCCCGGCTGCATTTCCCACCACCGGGAACAAGCAGGGGACCCCAGCGCCGCTTGGCTCCGTCCCGGCCGGGGAGGTGCAGGAGAAGACCTGTGCTCTTGGACCTCCCATCTGCGGGCACGGCTGGGCACCACCACGCAGAAAACCTGGGATAGGAGATGTCTGGACAACCGCAGCTCAGTCTCTACTCACAACAGTGCTTGTGGCTTGCACCACAGACCCGAGCCTGCTCGCAGCCAGGCCCACCTGCACAGAAAAAGCGATCCCTACGTGGGAAAGCAAGCAGGATGAGCCCCTGCCGATGTGCACCGCTCTTTACCCATTGCCCTCCACTCACCACACATCTAAAGTCAGTTAAAACAACAGCCTTTTCTGAATTAACGGCCCCGTGACACCACGCCAGGCCAAATTCTGCTCGCTTCACGTCACCCGCGCCATGCGAAAGCGTGATTCGGCTCGCCAAGTCTCCCGCGCCGAACGAGTGCCAGAGCAAAACCCTCAGCTGAGGAGTTTCCTCTCGTGCAGAACTCCCCGGCGTGGCTGTCCCTCCGGCCAAGGGACCTATTTGGTACCACAGCAAGGAGGGCGGGTTTAATTCTTGCTTGACAGATACTGTGTTTTGTCTTTTCAACAGAGCGGCGCCGTACGTAAATACAGCGTTACATCATACCGCCGCTCCTCCATATTTGGTGATTTAGTATGGCTCCAGAGCTCAGAAGACTACAAATCCCTTCCGCCAGGCTCCCGCTTCATTAATCATGCCCTACGCTTCTGCTCGTTTTCCGTCAGATCGCAGGCAGCACATGGAAATGGGCACTGCCCTTCTACCACTCTAGGGGAAAAAAAAAACCACCTTTAACATCCGTGGCTGGGAAGTGCAATATGCGGAATTACTGGGGTTTGTAAGTCTCATTCAAAATGTAGATTAGCACCAGCTGAGCCTCTGCTTCCTCTTAAACATAAATATATACGTGTATTCAAAGTAAAACCTATTACTCTGCAGAAATAGTATATATTCATTCACCTTACGTATGCATGCGTACGCACATGGCTTTGCATATATATATATATACGTGTGCAGACAGACACACACGCACTGATACGTATTTGCTGCCACCGCAAAACCTTCAAAATACAGCTCTCCGGCGTGATTTGCCGGCCGGTTTGGAGGCCAGGGAGGCTGTGGGAGTATCACGCTGAACCTCCCAGCGCCTACTGCCCTATTATGGTTTAACTTTGTGGCCAAAGCAAGCCCAAGACAAGCTCCAGCACATCATGTGATGATGTACTGCGCCTCTGACAACCCTGAGCGGTCCTGCGGGCTCCCCGAAGAGAGGTACTGGCAGTGCCACATCCCAAACATTGCTGGGAGGGGGGGTTTGAAACCGGTTCAGGCATTTGTTGCTGTTGATATGCCGCGGTCTCGCCTTTTTCGACCGGTAGTATTGGTGCGGTTTGAAGTGATTTGCAACACTCGCTGCAAATGGGTAGTGCTCTTGTTTACTAGCAGGATTTTAAAAGCAGAGCGTGCCTTGTTACGCTCCCAGGGCTCTGGGATTTTCTTGCACGTAGTACGCTCTATTTTTTTAACCTCATTTGTGAAAATATCTGCATGGCGAATGGCTTTCCGGTTTTAAAAAAAAAAAAAAAAATATGCTAAGAAATGGAATTATTTACCCTTTTTTTTTTAAATTACATTTCATATTGTTTGTTGCACAAAACAGAACTCTGCCTCGGACATTTGTACGGCTGACATGTGGTTGTGTAAACCGCAAACAAAATCAAGATACATCTGTCAAAACCACATCAGAGACAAGAGAGAGCACAGCGAAGCATTTATCATTTGGCTGAGGAGGCAGGCTGCAGAGAGCGGCCTTTCCTGTCAAACCAACCTTTTGAAATTTCCAACATGCCCTTAAACTTTTCGAATAAGCATGTCTGTGCGCTTCAGCAACTGCCCTCTCTACTCTGGCCTGGCCAGTCGAAAATGGCATCTTAAAGTCAAGGTCGGTGGTGTCACTTTGCCATGGGGCTGTGTTTAATTACAGTCCATACGCTGACAGCCAATATGGAACCAAGGCTGGCTGATGCTCGGTTAACTCTTTCACCCCTGACTTTACCAAAGACTCAAAAGCTCCTTGCTTTATCGCGTGGCAGGCTCTGAAATCTCCTCCTGCAGCACTACGGCAGGCGAGACACCGGGAGACGGTGACTACAATACAGGCAAATCACGAGAGCAGCCTCAAACAATACTGTTAGAAATACCGGCTGGCACGCCACGTGCCTGTTGATCCTGCAGGCACTAGGAAATACCGGTCGTGCGCTCACCACTAACCGAAGGCAGGGTGTTTAACACATCGGCCGTCACGGCGAGCAGAACAGAGAGACAGACACAGCAGTTTACAACTGCGAACATGCTACGTTGCAACTGAAACGGAAATAAACTCGCAAACGCTTCTCCTTGCTTTAATTTACCTGCTATATGTTCCTGCTTAGGGCAAATTCCTCTAGATGACGTTGATAAACAATCGTCATCCTCTGGCGTAACCTGGATGCCAACCTCCACAGGATTGGATGCTTTTTTCAGCTCACTTGGTGAGGGTGAAGGTGGCTTATCCACAGCCTTCTCTAAGCAGAGACTGCCATTGCATTGTTTCCGTTTGTGCTCAATAAAAATAAGAATGTCCCCCAACGGGAAGTTCATCTGACACTGGCCACAAGTGAGGAGGTCGTGGTCCCCTTCCGGAGCTCCCAATGTGCCATGTTCAGGTTCGTCATCAGTGAGAATGGCTTCAAGAGGTTCGGCTGCAGTTTGAGAAACAAAAGGAGAATCATTAGAGCTCTCGGGAAAGGCACCGGGCGCGGGGGGAGGAACGCGCCGAGCCCCCTCTTCATGAATATTACACCCTGCTCACAACGTGCGCCTGCTCCCCCCCCAACTCAACCCATGCAATACAGCTATTAGCACGGCAGCGAGGAGATGAATTCATCAGTTACAGGGAAGAGATTTTGCAGAAGCAGCTGTAGCATGCAGAACTCGGAGAGCGAGCACTGCAACTGTCTCTGTGTTCCTACGTGAGGACAAATTTCTGACTTGATTGAACGATTCGGTGGTAAAATTAAATGAATGGGCTGAAAGAATACACTGCAAAACTCTCGTGGCACTACGAACAGAAGCAAATACCATGTTTTATTGCCGGATGTACCATTTAGGTATATGAATCCAAGGCTAAAAGCACTGCACACGCTCTCTCACACACACAGGGGTGTGTGTTTTCCACCAGCCAGACCTACTTTCTAAAATTTAGAAGCCTGAACTACATGGGTGCGGGCGCAGAGAAAAGGTGTTTCAACATACAGATACTGCATATTCCCTATACAGGCCATGCAGGTAGCATGCGTGTGTGTAAAAGAAAAGAGGGGGAGAGCCAGACTGCATGGCCGCACACACCCATGCACCGACACATGCGGCACATATAGCCCTTATAACGCACGTGCGTACATATACGTATGTATTTGTGTCACTATCCCTATCAGCCCGTTTACGGCTTCCAATTTAAAAATTCGAAAGCCGGGAGTTATTTGTGGGGGAGGGAGGAGACGAGACAAATAAATAAATAAATGGCAGAAACCGAAATTACAAAAAGCAAGTGCAGCAGAAACGCCTGTGGGGCGGGGGGAGGCACCTCTCACTTTTCAGCTACTCCTCAGGATTCAAATAAATAGCAAATTCACAACCGATTCCACCCAAAGATATTAGCTAGATAGGATATTTTTCAGTACTTAAGGAAAGAAGGCAATCAGTCATTTTTCCTTTTTCATCCTGAAAAAAAGGAATGCCTAAATGATCTTGAACGTGTTAGCACAGGTGGCCCTGAGCATCTAAAAATCAGCGTGGCCAAGTGACTGCCACATTTCCTCTCAACAGTGAGAAGTGCCTTCTTTAAACTCAAAATACCTTGCCTAATGTTGTCAAAGTTGACAAATTTTCTGAATGAGCTCCAAAAAGCTTCATTATGAGGCTATTTCTGCTCACAGAATCATCAGTGGATGCTCTAACGAGGCAGACACGGCTCTCTCTTCTGAGGGCTTTTTTTTTTTTGGTTAAGTTTGCAGAGAAATACCTTGGCAATCTGTGTGCAGTCACCATCACTATTGCCTTTCACGAGGAAAAAAAAATAAATACCAGGAGCGTGTTGGTATTCCTCTACCTGCGCAATATAACACGCACGCTAACAGCAGCGAGCAGGAGGAGAGGGTACTACAAATACAACCCACCTCAAAACACTGCCAGGTAACGCAAGTGAGACAGAATTACAACTCCTAAACAGTTAATCAGCCTGACCTTCTTTAGCTGGCTGCCAATTTCACATTTAATGAACTTAAAGCCACAGAGAATCAAAAAATAGATTTTAATTTGACTGCACGATATTGGAACTGATTTTGATAAAGTGCAAAAATCCAGTGAACTCAGGTTAAATTTATTTCAACCCTACCTAGGCTGAATATTGAGGAGGAAGATCTGGAGTAGCTCCCAGTTGTGCTGCGTAAAATAATATTGAAAGAGCACGCTACCTCGCCGTACCTCAGCTCCAACTAGGACACAGGGATCCAGTCCATCATTTCTTGCCTCTAGTACTACTTCTAATTTAACGTAAGGTCAACCACAGGAATATGAAGGTTACATTCGTATTAATAAAAACAACATCTTAATCGCTGGGGTTTTCTTCTAAACTTACAGACCGACAAGATAAGACACACAACGTGCATTTCACGCACACTCCTCGGGAAGCCGGGAGAGGAGCAGGGTGTTTCTGCGGGATTGCTGGGCACGGCGTTTTTCTCCCCAGCCGTTCCCTGCGTTCGGACCGAGGGAGTAAATTATTGCAGGACTAATTCCACCAGTAGCTCGCTGCACGCCGCAGACAAAGGTATTTTGCAAATCTAACTTCTAGCTCACCAACCCTCTGCAGCAAAAGACACAAAATAACCCGTATTCCCCTTACAACTGGTTTAGCGAGGAGCTCTGCATAATCATTACTCAATTATAATGTTTTCCCGCGGCCTGATTTCTTTCTGACGCTGTCAGTATTATTTAGCAGGGGAAGGTAACCCGCTGCTTTGACACCAGACAGTTAAAAGTAGCACTAAACAAAAATAGACTTTGCTAAAGTCTGTACCGACTGGGCTGATTTACAATCAAAACCAGGAAATGAAGTGGTAATTCAGAGGTTGCTGATTACACCTCCACATTTCACCTAATTAATTTTATAGGAGGCAAAGTTCTTGAAAATAACAAGATGATCAAATGTACAGATATAAAACCTGTAACCTCAACGTTTTCTATGCTCTTAACGTAAATTATTGCTAATTAACAAGAATTATATACTAATGTACGAAATACGGCTGGCACTGTGTTCACTGCAAAACGTTTGGCTCCTGATGGAGGCAGAGCCAGCAAAAATATGTTTTTCTTATTACTGCTACTTTTAAAACAAAATACAGAATATCGGGTTTACAAAGAAAACACCAAAATACAATTCACCTGGTCTTGCCACTGATTTGCAGGATGCATCTTTTAGTTCTGGGGCAATCAAAATTCCCTGCCTGGGTCCCTAATCATCCGTCCCTATTTTTCATGCAAATTGCCTTTCCACCAACATGTCTTTTCAGCTTCCCCCCTTCGCCCTCCTACTCCCCCCTTCTTCCCCGTTCCCAGTCACCAAAACAACCGCACCGTCTCTCCGGCAAAAGCGGGATGGATTTTGGCGTGTCGGAGAAAGGAGGTACCGGGGGTGATGGG